CGACTTCGAAGACTTCGGAACGCCACCTCTAATCTACCAACCAAACGCTATCCCGCAGAACCGGGACTAGCACCAAATCTACGACTCTAACTACTGGTGGTCTTCGTCGTCGCCGTCGACGCCTGAACGCCACCCAAATATCTTCTCGGTCGCCGGCCGCCGCGCGAAACTCCTTCCGCGCGCGCGCGGGCTCGCGTACAGCAGGGGATGACGAAGTGGCACTGTCCGCGAGGGGGTGACTCTTGGGCAGCACAAGATAGGCTCTATTTAGCCTAAACTTAGGCTAAATCTTGTGTAAGTTTAATTACGTCACAGATTAATTGACTGACAATGACGTCGTTTAAACAGTCTGGCCGGTAACTAAAGAGTGACTTAACAGCGGGGTGACTTGAGATAGGCACCCGGGGGACGGTTGGGGTTAGCATGGTGGTTAGGATGGGTTCGGGTGCGGAGCGGGTGATTATTTAGGTTAGGTTTTTTAGTTTATTTGGTCGGGACTCGTGAATCTTAAGTCACTCACCCGTTAAGTCACCCCGGAGTTACCAGTATCGTTTAAACTCATTGTGGGGAACAACTTTGGCACGTGGCAAATTTTGCAGCGTTCGATAGATCCTGCTCAGAGGCTTTACGGCTCGATGATCACTCTTCTTCTATACCTGGGCGGCTACTAGCTACGGCGGAAAGATGTTCGATGACGTCAAAGCTTTAGCTAAAATTCAACCAAAATCTAGTATCTAAATAGACCCTATCTATCGATCGCAACCGGGCAGCTTGCTCCGAAAATGCTGTATTTTCATACCATAACGACAAAAAATTACCGCACACCCCTGCGGTCAATCGGAAACTGAGCTCAATATATAGGTATGTATATTCCGACGCGTAGCGGCGATTATATGAGGGCAGATCGCATGGTGAAATACTATGGATTTTGACGGTATGGTCGTATACCTACCTATATGCCCCCTATATGGGCCTTTACTGGTACCGGCCGAGTTGCTGACGTCATCAAGGGAACAAGGCGATTGCAAGGACGAGGACGGGTGACGTCGGATTTGAGCGTTGGGACGTCATTTTTGAGCCGGTAACGCTCATATTCTGGTCCTTTACGCTCATACGCTCATGAGCAACGCTCATCTCAAGAAATACCTCCATGGCGAGCTGTAACGCAGTTGAGAAAACCTAGTTTCTGTTGCACCCGTCTTCCCTGCAAGACTTGCACCTTCCTTGCTGTCAGGCGCACCTTTTCTTCGCCTTATTGACAGCCTAGGTACTTGCGCAACACCGTCTGAGCTCTTGCAGCACCGCATTTTTGAATCAGTTGCTAACCCAAGTGAGGCGGCTGCCTGCACGAGTGCTTGGAATGGTATGCTGCAATGAAGGAGTTGCTCAAAGGTTTGTGCATCATGCGCGAGGGCATCACAGTGCCTGCAAGCGTTTGAGTGAAAGCATCCAAATCTGTCTAGTTCTTGTTTAGTAGCATAAGCTGTCGTAAGCATCAGATACAAGTGCCGCATGGACTGTGGACCTGCATGCAGTTTTAGGTATAGGCTCCAACCAATCTTGGTCAACTGGAATTGTTTGGTTCATGTAGTTCAGTATGAGATGGAGAGAAGAGGAAAATACGGTGGTTCTCCTTTGATTCTTAAGATGCCTTGGTCTGGTGCGCAGTTTGCGTACAGCATTGCTGCATTCCTGACAGCGGACATGGCGCACATCAGCCGCCTGGTGGCGGCGGGCGTAGTGCAGCCCCCTTCCCCCGCACTGCCACATTGTAACCACCACCACGCACAAATTGCTGCGAGGGCCCTTCGGCGGCGTCATCTGTTTCCGCAGGGCCGAGCACAACGGTGTCAACACAAGCCGGCCATCAGCCATGCCGTCTTCCCGGGCCTGCAGGTGGGAATTCATTCGAGGTGCTGCATTGTGTCAGACACAGAATTCGCCGAAGAAGTGCTTACTGTCCAATCGTCTCTTCTTGTTTCATACACTTGTTGTGGCGGAGCTACAGATGAGACCGTGGGCCAGATCTGTTGCCCTGGAAACGTATAACTTGTAGCGCAGGGATCCCCCGGGCTATGCCTGCAAGTGCTTTATGTTGTCGCTTTCAGCCATCAAGGTCTGAAAGTTGTAGCAAGTGGAGACGCGGGGTCTGCTACTCTGGACAGACTCCATGGATCCTTCTCCTGTTGCCTCTTGTTGAAGCAGTCGCCAAGGACGGCTCGTCAGTGGGCCCAGCCTCCATCAATGCTTGCAGACCGTCGGTGCCCTGCTTCCCTGCAGGGCGGTTCCACAACCACACGATGGGCAGCCTTGCTGTGGCGCTGAAGCAGGCAGCCTGCCCTGCTTTCAAGGAGTAGCGGCAGGTGGTGGCCGCCAGCCGGGGTCTGGCAGGGCGGTTGCCGGAGTTGGGATCCACCCTGGTGTTGGGGGGGGGGGCGTCAACCACCTCGCGCTCGTCGGCCTGCGACCAAATGTGAGTCACGAACTAGAGCTTCCATCTGCGCCGTGTACCCGTCAAGATTGCGCGAGCCTGTGTCTTCGAGCACACGTCTTTCTTTTTCAGAGCTTTAGCCTAGTTTTCCCCCCTTGAATTTCGTGACTTTGTCCGATCAGCGAGGAGTTTTGGGTCATTACGTACTCTCGTGCACCCACTTTCTTGCGACCAGACGGAATAGTCTCCGCGGCTTTATCGCCCGGGGTTACGTGGAATCTGATGTCTGCTACGTATGCAGGGCACTGACGGCGCGGACATGAAGAAGGTACTGGAGCGGTTGTCCATCATGCTGAACAAGAACAGCGTGCCGGGGAAGAAGAGCGCTCTCACCCAGGGGGCCGGAACTCCACTGCAGGTGAGGAACAACGCAGAAGCGAAACGCAGTACGATTTTATGATGGCGCTTTGGAGAGCTATGGCTGGGCTCCTTGTGTCTTGTGGTGGAATCCAGAAGCTGAATCACCCTCCTCTGAAATATGATTTGCAATCGTCTCTTAGCTCCTAGATTCTATGCTATTGGCCAGCATCCTATACTAGTTTCAATTTGTGGTTAGGCCCTTCTAGCTGTTCTCTTTGTTGAAGCACGCCTCCAGGCAATCTCCGCGTGTTTCTGGCGGCTCCAGAGAATGGCAGAAGCATATGCACACAGGGTGACTGAACGCGAAGATCGGTCAAGTGCTTCCAATCCAACGTTTCCAATGAGCAATTGAGAGTTAGGTCTCTTGTTCTGAGCATTTGGACTCGAGTCACTTGAACCTGGTCAATCCCTCAGGCCGGGCACTATTTAGCCGAAGCTGACATCGCAAGACATCAGTTCGCCTTCCAAAAACAGAAGCTCACCAGATTGTGCTCTCGTGCAGGGCATTGCCGGACTGGCCGCAGGAATTGTCAGGGATGCTTTTGGCACCCGATGCTGACGTCATCGCGGGCGAACAGGATGACGTCAGCATATGAGGCCAGCTGCGTACGTGCCTAATGGACTCCGTGCTCGACGGACCGGACGCTGGTGAGCCACTTCATGGCGTGCGGGGCCGTGAAAGTCGTGTGGCCCCCTGCTAATCGCTCCCGCTCAGGTGCATTCTGGTTTCTGCAGTGACTCCAGATTGTGATGCTTAGTGAGTATGTGACGGCGCGAACTCAACCTCCCATCGTGAAGAAGCTCGAGGAGGAAAGATGGAAGTCTGGGTCTACTTGGCATTGCAAAAGGAGGCCGGAGGTTGTTCTGTGGAGGTTACGTAGTCGCCCTTTCCAGAATGCAGAATCGCTCGGACATGGGGGCCCAATTCTCCGGGCTTGTGTCTGAGGATGAACCTTTTCTTTACCGATAATTTTTGTACGCCTATGCTGTGACCAGGCCGACACTCTCCTTGATTGTTAACAACTAAGTTCAGAGTTTCTTGATGAATACACGAAGCCTCTATGGCGGGCAAGAGGCACAGCACGTGCTGACGCGACTCTCCATTCTCCTCTTCCGCAGGCAATGCTTCGGCCGAGGGATGCCTTCCACGTGAAGCGGTGGTGCACTCACGGAGCCTGCGAATGTGGACGGCTGGCTGTCCTAGCGTCCGGGGCAGGAGCCCTCACGTCCGAAGATGCAGTCGCACTCCCCAGTGGTTGGCCCTGAGGTTGCGCTCAGGTTCAGGGCCAAGGCGCTTACTTCAACTTAGGTAGGTTCAAAAAGCCCGGTGCCAACTTTGGATATGCCATGCCGTGTTAGCCGTTTGACATCTGTCCTGGGCTCGCTCAAATGGTTGGAAAAGCTCATGGACTACGGTTACATTTGAACGTTGGGATCCGATTCTGACGGGCAGGTTCAAAGCCAAACAGCTCCTGTGGCTGCCGCTTTTTCTGCGCCCTTTTCCGTCCAAAGTCTTTCTCCAACCATGCTTTGATACGCTTGAACGGAAGGCGGTTACCTAGCCTTCAAAGATGGCTGCCGAATGGTTATTGCGGTTTGCTCGAAAGCCCTGAATCCACAAACCTGGAAATCTCTTGATTCGAGCCTAGTCGAATCACTGCCTTATTGCCATGAGGAGCTTGCTCTGAGATTGGCCGTGATGCTCTAATGCAATCAGGGCTGGGCAACTCTACAAAGAACCGTCCTCAATCTCTGAAAGGCCTTTCTGTCCTTGTAAGCTTGTTGAAAGAACGGCGTGGCGGAAACACAGCGGAAAGAGCGAAACGTCAATTGTTTGGAAAGCAGTCCTAGTCCAAGTAGTTTTTAAATCTTGCCCGGGACGGCATGTGACCACGCATCGCTGTTGTAACGCTGGCCACCTATTCGTTCACCCCCATAGCTTTCCACAGACGTCGCATTGCAGCTGTACGAGACGCGAACGAACTCCGCGACGGTCATTGGCTCGCCGGCTTCAGTTGCCGTGCATCGACGACGTCATCATAAGTCCCTGACGTGCGGCTCCTCCTGTTTGCAACCGTACCGAGGAAAACGGCCTCCAGTCGTGCAGAATAAGGATGAGCAAGGCCGTGCGTCTAACGCGATTGGGTCCTTGCGGGACTTCTCTCCGGTCTTTGGGGCCCGCATCTTGAGGCGGGAATCCTGGTGATCGTGCCAAGCGCTGCAAACTGGCGCTGTCGTCTTTGTCTACCGGCGTGAGTTGTTCCGTTCTTTCCGGTCATTCTACCTCGAAGTCGGTCACTCGTTTGCTGTATCCTGTCTTGTGTCAATCCCAAGGTTTTTCCCGTTTCAGTAATTCCTTCTCTCGTGATCTTTTCGTTTGCAACGTCTGCAATCTTCTGCGCAAAGTGATACAGTTTCTCTGTTGCTTTGATTCTGCGTCCTAAGGTGACTCGGCAATCGAAACATGATGTCATTCTGGAGTGTTCTATGTTCTTGGTCGCTCATACGGACTTATAATCCGAATCTCTTTGATACCGCTTCATTGCTTCTTGTGTTAGAAAATCATCGTGCTCAGGATCAGGTCTCGCTTGAGGCATACTTCCTTCGCGTTACAAACGCAACAGTCCTGATCGAGTTCCGACCGGATCGATACTTATTGAACTCTTGTGCTTCGACGCAATTACCTAGTCTGGCTTCCCGTCATTTCTTCTGCAGCCGCGTGACTTGTTGGAGCTGCTATTGAACGGTAGCGGTCAGCGTGAGGTCCGCTCAGGACGCATGACTCCCGACGAGAGGTGGGCCGACCGTGACCCTTCGTTTCCTTGGAAGGTGAGGAAATGTTTGCTTTAGCACAGTAGCCGACGACTTTTTTTTTTCCGGGTGATGACTAACGACGGCGTATTTGTCTTGGGGCTTTGAAGTGAAGACTCACGTGTCTCATCCTGGCCTGATGGTCTCATTCACGTGAATCTATCGCCCTCAACCTCGCTTGATCTATGGGCATCGAAACAGACATGAACCACGTTCTTTCGGTAAAAGGGCACTAAGCAACTAACCACAAACCAAGCTTGTCTAAAAGCGCTGATCTCTTCCTGTGGTTCCGGGCCTGGTGGTCGGAGGAGGGCCAGAGAAGGAGACCTCAAGACGCTGTTCAGTTTTGATCATCATATTGAAAGTCGAGAAACACCTCAGATTCTGCACCATACACGCGCAGCAAAGGTTGCAGAGTGCACGAAGGGCCGGAAGGGTCTCTTCTGCCCCCGTCCATCAGCCGTGTGCTTGTTGTGACTGCTTGAGTATAACTTCCTTGGCGATCAGTTCCGCTCCGCTGAAAGCGGTCGTCTTCCTTCTTGCGCAGATCGTACACAGGTTTTAGAGCGCGTCATCGATCTAGAGCCCAGCAGGAAAAGTCCGATACAGTAAGACTTACTTTGACAATTGCTCCACTCGAAGTGTAGCGCTTGCACAGGCAATCTTCTCTTATTCACTTACCTAAGCTGAGGTCCACGTGTTATTCCGTCTTCTGGGCGGAAGGAAACGCCAGAGTTCTTCCTTGCAACCACCAAACGATAGAATCCCACATTCTTTAGCATTGTCATGCGTGTCTGAGTCGAGCCCCGATTGAGTCGAGGTCTCTGACAAAGCGTCACAAAATTGAAAAGTAGGCCGTCCATTATGAACGTCACATGCGATTACGCAACTTGCTCAGCCGGACAATGTATTATAGCGCATCATGGGGCCT